AAAAAACACCACCAACAAAAACCCTCACTCCATGGTAGAGCATGCTCTGTCCAGTTTTGAGTTGTACTTTCTACCTACTCCAATGCTACTGCTGTGATGACTAATGAGTGTCCTGTTACACATATGCATGAAAGGCATGAATGCATACCTGGCATATGCTTCTGTGTAACAGATTATAAAAAAGAAAAGCCACTGATTAGGTGTGCCTGAAACAGTAGATGAGACTACTGTGCCACTGTGAAGATTTGCATGATGCCTTCACTTCAGAATATTCCCTAATCTCGCTGCTGACTCTTTAGTGTTTGGAAATCTAACCCAAACGATATTGAAAACACAGCAATGCAAGGAGTTTCTGCAAGTGACTTCAACAGAATAAGGCTGTACAATGGATTCAATGCCCGAAGACACCAGTGAGAAGGGAGAAGGAAAACCGTTTTAGAAAATGTGGCAGAAATATAGCTGGTTTAGTAGCAAATCAAATTATACCCAAACAATTCTATAAACATTTCATCCAGATTTTTTTTTTCAAGGGGGAGGATATGAGAAGAGGTAGAAGGAAATCTGAAATTTAGAGCAATAGTTTACATAACATTACAATAGAGAGCTAGTACAACTTACTTAAAGTATGCGAATGACAATGTTTTTTTTTTTTTTCTGATTAGGAATAATGCTTTTCAGTTTATTTCAGACAAGACTATGGCTGGTGTTTTCACTTAGCTCTCATTAACTTAGAATTAACTGCCAGGTGCATAAGACCTAAAAGAACAGGGACCCCAATGAAAAGAATAGGTGGCGTGCAGCCAGCTTTGCTGTTAAGAGAACTTTACACTGTTCAGCGTTGGAACAAGTACTGCCAGAACCAAAAATTCTTACTTTCATTGGCTAAGTCAGCAAATTACAATGCTGATGGACTGTAGAAGGGATGCTGTGTTTTTTAGACAAGTTACTTCAAATGGATTTTTTTAATTATTATTGAAAAACTTGTCAAATGCATCTTTCATAACATTTCCTTTTTTGGGAAAGTTTTGAAGTTCTTTGCCTATTTTCATCAGCACAATGCAAAATTCTCACTTTCCAATAAATATAGGTTTTTTTCCTTCTTAGAAAAAATACTAAAAAGAGCACTGCAATATTTGTTCAACTGTTCATATCCTGCCCTACAGTAGTGTCCATGTAGGCTGTGGGGACTTTCTGTTTGGTTTTAGTACAAACAAATAGCAACTGCTGATGCCCTTTGTTTTTAGGATTAAAAATATAAAGGAGTCTTTATTGTTTAAAGCTTCAATACTATGGTTTTGAATTGTTTCACTGTAAAAAGGCTTCTGCGTTTTTGAGAAGGCAAATAACCAAAGTCCCTTGATTGAACAGTGCAAGAAGGAGGCGTGGATATCTAAATGGCCTAGAAAAACTCTGCAACAGGCCACATATTGCTTGGATAGCTATTAGAAGACAGGCACAGGGCAGTCAGAGACTAACTTGCTCTGTTCAGTATGGATATCCATGGTGGTAACTTCCGTGGTGACGGTAGTCATCTTGGTAACCTTCCTGGTATCCCTGATGATAGCTATGGTAACCATACCCACCATACTCATCTTCTGGGCACTGCATGCCGAGCGATTGCTGAATTGTCATTTCCTGTCGCCGAAGCTGCATGGAATCAATCAGATCATACACAATTGCCATAGACCACATTGGAGAAGGATACCAGGATTTGACGTTTCCATCTTTCCCAACTAGAAGCATGGAGAAATACTCTGGGCTAATTTGGAAATAATTTCGAATGTCTTTCACCAAGTTAGCTGGGATATCTTCTCGGTCTACAGTAGCACTTCCTAGAAAGTGATCACATAAAACAGCATTGACATTTTGTTTAAGCAACAGTGATGAGTGTTAATAACTCAGTGAGTTTGCAGTGTGAGAAAAGATACAGCCCGGTGTTTGATAATGTAATATACTTGACATTTGCAGTGTAGGATTTCCTGGTTCTGAAATGAAAGGCTGCTGTACTGTGAACCAAAGATGCATTTTTAACAGTTTTGTTAGGGTTAGTAAATTTGTCTTTATCCTCTAGGCTGAAGCTACTGCGGTGTGGCACACCTTTTCCTCACCTGACATGCAGTGTGTCTTTGTTTCTTATGCAGCTTGAGTAATGGCTAATATCTGCAGAAGGCACACATAAAAATAGTCAATGTGCAAGAAATCACTAGACTAGAAATGTGATAGTGTGAAACACTGCAGGATAAATGTGCTGGGTCATTAATAGCAGTATAGAGCTTCACTCTTGAGCTGGAATGCTGTATGAATGAGAAGTGGCCGATGTCATGATGACTTTAAAAAAATAGGTTCTCATGCTGATCTGAATTTGATTTATAAATATGAAGCCTGTACTAACTAAGTGGGCAGAAAGTATAAGACAGCTAGGGTCAGTGGACACCTATATGCAGAGTTGATGTAGTAACAGGACTTCCATGAAGTGGCATTCTGCTTACCAACTTCGTGAGATTCTCCAGAGGAGATCTGTAAGTGGGTAGCTGAGGGTGGTCAGGCTGATACAGATAATGAAGGTTACTAGCAGGCTTCAAAATAAACTTTGATAATATGGTTGGAAGGCAGAAACAAGGTAGGAATAATATATAATCAGTTCCTAGAGTGCAGGGAGGTAACTTGTGTGACCAATTGTAGGGTATACCTGCTTTGGCAGGGAGGTTGGACTTGATGATCTCCTGAGGTTCCTTCCAACCCCTGCAATTTTATGACTCTGTAAAGTTCACAGTTGTCTATGCTGGGACTGGTGCAGTTCTAGGCTAGAGCTTAGGTTTATGAAAGGGAGTTACTTGAAAGGCTTGTTCTCTGCTCACTAGTGGTCAAAAAGCCAAAACAGATGTTAGAAGCTATGAAGAAAATAATACAAAAAGAAAACAGAATATCCTTATGCCACTATGTAAACCTGTTGTGTCCCTCTTGAATATTACATATGCATCTGATTCTCTCACCTTGAAACTGGAAAAAAATCCAAGGTAATAAGGATGGTCATAAGTTTGTCAGTGGGTTGGAGGAGATCTACTGGATTGTGAATATTACTGCAGGATGGATAGGGATTAACTGTTTACCCACAGAAGAGGTAAGGGATATCAAATAGCCCTATAGGAATCATGTTCAGGGCAAATAAGAGTTACTCTGCAGATTTGTGGAGTTTCTCAGAGGGAAGTATGGATACTAAAGGTTAACATGAAATCAAAGGGTGATTTGACAAGCACATTAAAGGTATCTGTTGAGAACTACATAGCATGTATAACAATTTCTGATTTGCCCCTTTGATTGTTATCCTTTATTGATAGTTCAGGCCAGCAGCGATGAAATTGCTGAGAGAAGCCTGAGGATTATCAAAAAGAACTTCAGGGGACTGGGGCAGTTAGTGGACAGAGCAGGTGTGCAGGTTATATGTTTCTCTGTCAGTGGCAGGGTTGTATTCTGAGAGAAGCAAGAAAACCCATCTCATAAATACATGGCTGAGGCTGGTGCAATCACAAGAATTTTGTTTTTTCTTGACTGTGGGGCAGTTTACACTGTTTCTGGCCTGATATCTGCTGATGGGTCTCACCTGTCTTAAAGCAGGATATGGATCCTAGCCAAGGAGCTGGTAGTGCCTGTTGACAGGCCTTTAAACTAGATGTGAGGGAGCTGGGGCGGGGGGGGTTAAAAACGAAGCTTGCTGAAGATAAGCCTAGAGAAATTATGATGGGATTGGGGGTGAGGCAAGGGGCCCAGCTGAAGTGCATCTACACCAATGCATGCAGCATGGGAAGCAGGAGGAGCTGGAGTTTGTGCGGCAGACAAACTATGACTTAATTGCCATTATGGAAGCATGGTGGGATTGGTCCCACGACTGGAGTGCTGCTGCAATAGATGGTTATAAGCTCTTTGGAAGGGACAGTTGAGGAAAGAGGTGGTTGCATGGCTCTCTATGTTAGAGAGTGTTTTGATGTTATTGAGCTTGGGGCTGGGAATGAAAAGATTGAATTTCTAGGGGTAAGGATTGGAGGGAGGGCCAACAAGGCAGACATCCTGCTTGGGTCTCTTTTATAAACCACCTAATCAGGGCAAAGAGACAGATGAGGCATTCTACAAGCAGCAGGCAGAAGTTGCATGATCATCAGCACTTGTCCTCGTGGGGGACTTCAACCTTCCTGATGTATCTTGGAATACAATACAGCACAGAAGAAGCAGTCTGGGAAGTTACTGGAGTATGGAAGATAACTTCCTGATGCAGCTTGTAAGAGAGTCTACTAGAGATGGTGCTCTGCTCCTAGACTTCAACAAAGTCTTTGATGACTTTGGTGCTGCCTACCTGGACTTCAGCAAGTCTTCGATACTGTCTCCCACATTACTCTTCTGAGAAACTGGCAGCCCGTGGTTTGTACAGATATATTCTTTGCTGGGTAAAGAACTGGCTGGAGGACCGGGCCCAGAAAGTGGTGGTGATTGGAGTTAAATCCAGCTGGTGACTGGTCATAAATGGTTTTCTCTAGCAGTCAGTATTGGGTCTGTGTTATTTAATATCCATATTGATGATGTGAATGAGGGCATGAGTGCACCCTCAGTAAGTTTGCAGGTAACACCAAGCTGGCAGGAAGTCTCAATCTGCCTGGGGGTAGGAAAGCCCTACAGAGCAATCTGGACATGCTAGAAAGCTGGGCTGAGGCCAGTAGGATGAAGTTCAGCAATACCAAGTGCCAGCTCCTGCACGCTGGGCAGAACAACCCCAGGCAATGCTACAGGCCTGGGGCAAAAAGGCTGGAAGACTGTGTGGAAGAAATGGACCTAGGGAGGTTGGTTGATGCTAGGCTGGTTAACATGAACCAACTGTGCCCAGGTGGCCAGAAAGGCAAATGGCATCCTGACTTATATTGGAAATAACGCAGTCAGCAGGAGCAAGGAGGTTATTGTCCCCTGTATTCAGCTCTGGTGAGGCCGCACCTCAAGTACTGTGTTCAGTTTTGGGTCCCTCACTACAGGAAAGACATTGATGCCCTGCAGTGTGTCCAGAGAAGGTCAGCGAAGCTGGTGAGGAGTCTGGAGCACAAGTCTTATGGGGAGTGGCTGAGGGAACTGGAACTGTTCAGTCTGTAGAAGAGGGGGGTCGGGGCTGACCTTATCACTCTCGACGATTACTCTGAAAGGAGGTTATGGCAAGGTGGAGGTTGGCCTCTTTTCCTGCATAGTTAGCGACAGGACTAGAGGGAATGGCCTCAAGTTGCACCAGGGGAGATTTAGGTTGGATATTATGAAAAAATTCTTCTCTGAAACAGTGCTCAAGTGCTGGAGTGGGCTGCACATGGACATGGTGTAGTCACCATCCCTGGAGGTGATCAAAAATCGTTTAGATGAGGTACTAAGGGAGATGGTTTAGTAGGAAATAGTGATGGATGGTTGGACCAGATGATCTTAGAGGTCTTTTCTAACCTACGTGATTCTATGATTCTGTAACCAAGTTCATGAAGTTCTTCAGTGAAAAGTAATTGGAGTCTGCGAAGGTGTTTAAAAAGGAAGCACAAAACCTGCTTTCTCTTTTATTCTTTCTTAGGCCTGGAATTATGTCTTTATGAAGCTGGAAGGACAGGGGTGTTTTCTAGTACAGTGCTGTAAGAATGACAGAGGAGTAAATAAGCTCTTTCCTGTTTCCATCTTTTCGCTGATAGATGTAGTTGTTGGGATCAGATAATAGAAGAATAATTAGCCTTTGAAATGTTTCTTGACAGCTAGTGCTCCTAAGAATGAATTAGCTGGCTGGGATGCAGATGGAACAGACAATGGATCTGTGTAAGAGAATCTGCTACATATTAGCCTTACAAATTCTTAAGCATGTAGATCCCTTTGTCAATGACAGCAACATGCGTAGACTGTACCTAGGACTGTGTGGTGGAAGATGAAGATGTGAGGTGCCTTCCAGATCATCTTTGGACTTTTCTGTACTACAGAAGCTATATGGTATTTAGCATAGCTATATCAAGAAAGTTTGCTTTTCTGCCACCTTTTTCTTAAGCAATGGAAAGAAAAACATAATTCAATCATATCCATCCCTCTAAAGAAATTACAGGAAAAAAAACACAGTACTGCGTAATGCTCTTCATGAGTAGTAGTGAACAAACTGGAAACAATCACTTACCATTAATTGGATACAACTCTAAGACACCACCAATATCTTCTCCAACTCCTAGCAACTTGAGGATAGTTATATGGCGCAGACCTGTGGAAGAAATGAAGGAGATTTTGAGTGAGACCAGTTCTTTATCCACATTCTTGGACAGATTTCAGTTAATTCAGACAGATCTATGCTAGCTAGATTAGCAACCAGTCTCAGCAGCCCTCTGTGAAGCTGAACTGCCAGTTTCCCCGGAGGCTCTGCCAGTCACATCACCTGGTCCCAAACATGGAGATAAGCTAGCATACTGACATACCAGTAACTCACAGAGACCACCTCCAAAATTAAGAATCTCTCTGCACTGTTTTGTTCATGAGTAAAGTTCTTGTCATATAGCAGAAATATAATTAGAGGTGACATAACAAACAGTTAAACTGCTGATCACTGTACTGTATGGCTTAGGACAGGCATTCACTTCTTTCACTTGCTCTGAGCAGAAGCTTGGGCTGTTACCTCAGCATTGAAGAAAGTCGGAGGGGACTGCAGAACCTGTTCATGAAACATGAGTCTATATGATCTACAAAATCTCTGATGTAACTTCTTACAATGTGGAATAAGATGCTTGGAAACATCACTTTGTTAAGAAAAAACATTGAAGACAAACCCTTTAGGAGCTCACTAGATCTCCTTCAGTCTATTCTTAGCAAGGGGCAGAAGGAATGGCCATATTCTGTTCTTCTGAAAGGAGTTTACAGTGGTTCATGCCACAGTTTTCTTTGGGAGTTACCAAATAAGATGTTGCTAAAGCTCTAAATGAAAGCCAGGTGATTGTAAGTAAAGAAGACAGTGTAGCAGTAACAATGTTGAAATGTACTGAAATAATGGCTTTTGAGTGGGACCTATTACATTCTGTTGTAGGAGTAAAGTCTAGGCCTTGCATCACACTCTTATTGCTAGGTACCGAAGTTAGGGAGCAAGTCTCTCTAGGCTTTTGTAATAGAGAGAAGGGTCGTTTTGAGTCTTGCTCTCAACTGCCTTGTTGAACTGTCCATCTCTCTAGTGAATATCTTAAGTGCCTAGTTATGGAGCTGAGAAGGTTGTTACTGGATTGAAGTAGCTTCCATTAAGATTTTTTTACAGGTTTAGGAAATGGTGCAGGGAAAAAAAAAAAAAGCAACTGGTACCCATGCATCTCCCTGATATCTGACCTAGCTCTAAGCTGGGTATAAGGATCTGACTTTTCCAAGGCATTGCATCGTTAATTCATGCAGTAAGGTAGATCTTCTGAAGTATAAGCTGGAAGAGAAGCTTCAGAGCACTAACCTTTCCTGCCTAATGCAAAGGATTCGAGGGAACGCTTGATTTAGTGTTGTTAGCTGACTGTGCTGTACTACCTGCTTATCATGGTATTTTCCATTTGTATTTGGAGTAGCTACAAGCTTCAGTTGTGAGACTCCTCAGATTGTCTAGTTTCAGACATGAGCAAAAGAATCCATCGCGTTACCAGGAAGGATGTGGTTTTCGGGGAGCAAGAGTGTAATTTCCTTTGACTCACCAAAATTACAGGCCTGTCCACTGAGAGCAGCAAGCTGCTGGGAATAAGCCCAGTCCTCATCACTGGGAGCAGAGATCACCACTAGCCGCCTTCTCCATCGGAACCTGGAAACAAAAAGGAGTGCAACAGGGAACCATTGTGACATATGACTGGAGTAGTTTGAGGATTTTTGTTCTTTAGGCTGAGATATACATATCTTTCACAACTTCTAAGAAGCAGCAGCTGGGAGTTCTTCCCAGTTCCATTCATCATGGAGAGAGGATAAAGCCTATCTGGAATTGTACAGCTCCAAAACAAACAAACAAAAAACTCTTGCAGTTTTGCTGCACTTTAGCCAAATAAACACTACAGAGCTTAAGATCTTTGCTGAAGGCCACCTCTGCTGGACATTACAATGCCGAGACCTGCATATTCAAGTGCAAGAGAGATTCCTGTAGAATTTCTCATTAGACATTTTAGCTTCTGTGTCATTCGCTGCTGTTGGAACTGCTCTGTTATTTTGCAGTCCAAGGGCTGTCTGAGAATTAGGGTGTATCTTCATTTCAGACATAACTCATGCTTCTATGTAAATAATCACTGATCTCTTTTTCTTCTTTACCACACACACTCACTCAGAATACTTTTAACATTCTCTTAAATCTAGTCTTGTTTATGTCGATGTCTGTATGAGGCTGTGGCTACATAAGCCATCCATAGGGCAGCAGAATATATTTTGTAATTCTCTTTAACAGGGGGTGTCTCATCTAACCAAACTTGTGCACTGAAGATCACTTTTCATTGTCCTCTCAGAGAAAGGGAATGCCATAGGGACACTTGAAACCCTTAAAAATTCCATCTACAGAGTTATTTAATACTCTGCAAACAACCTCTTTTTTTGAATAAAGGTACTTCTACACTAAACCTAAATAAATCAGATTTATAGGAATTTGCAGAGCTGCAGGGATATTTTTATAGCAGGAAATGATATTTTAAATGGATGCAGATGTTACTCTGTTACAATAATAGTCTGCTTTTCTGCAGCACCACATGAAGGTCTCAAAATAAAAGCTAATGCAATGGATCAACACTATTCCACTTGAGAAAGCAGAAAATGCTGTGGGATTTGCTCAGTCACAGAAGTTGCTGAGAATTCAGGGGATGCTCCTGCCTAATTCTTTGTCTTGTTGACTGAGTGATGTTTTTTTTTTTTTTTTTTTTTAATAATTAAAAATAAAACAAACAAACAAACAAAACAAAACCTCAGTTTTAATCTTGCCTGGGAGGAACGGGTAGGAGATGTGAGATGTGCATGTAGGTATGCAAATGGGAAGAAGATGTATTAATCATATACATGATGTAAAGAAGAGTAGAAATTTCTTGTTTTTCTGAAAATAGACATTTTTCTGTGATACTTAGTATAATGAAAACATTTGGCTGCCTATAAACAAGGACAGAGAATGGAAACATTGGATCATATTTTGTCTAGGGCATAAATGAGTACAGTACCTTACCTTTGAGTTGCTTTAAGATACTCTAGTGATTACTTACTAATTTTTGAGTATCTGTTTTGGATGCATAGAGATAAAGAATATTAACTGTCACTTGAGTTGTGAATTCTTCTACCCCAGGCAAGTCTTATACCTGGTGTGCTTGTTTGAAGTCACATCTAACCAATAAATTGATTTATTTAGTCCTTTACAGCTGTTGGTTTACAAACACTAATATACAAATTTATGCATGTTTTCCTGACATGGGAAACACAGACTGATATTCCTGTCCTGAATAATCTGTCAGAGCCTTCCCTTTGTGCACCCTGTCTTCCTCATCTAACTTGTTTTACTTCTCATTCTGATTTGTGAGCCCAGAAAGCAGCACAGCCAGTGTCTTGGTGTTACAGGGACCCAAGGAAATTCAAGGATCTCTTGTCAATATGTGTGGTATTTAAGAATTACTTAAGGAAGCCCTGGTTCTTGGTCTTCTTTCACAGTAGACAAAGTTGTAAAGAACAACATTTGCAATTTTACAAGGGCTGCTCTAAGAGTAATGTTTCTTGTTTTATTATGTTGGTTGTATGGAAGTAGAGGTTGAATCTTCTACCAGTATTCTGTTAAATTTTGTTGCTGTGTGACAGATGGCAGCAGAGGGGCAGTCTGATGAATTGGTGTCTGACATGGCAGTGTGAGTGAAGAAAAGGTGTGTTGCAGAATTCCTTCATGCAGAAAAAATGGCACCCGCTCTCATTCATCAACACTTGCTGAATATGGAGACCAGAGAGTGGATGCGTGCACAGTGAGGTGGGGTGGGGTTTGGTGGGGTGGGGGAAGAGGGACTTTTCAGCAGTGACAACAGCAACAGTGGGTCACCTCCACCAGTGCAGATTTGTACGAGTACTGCATGCGTGCTCTTTTTCATCACTGGTGAAATTGCACAGGTGATGGTGGTGCCGATATTAAAAATGGTGTTTTGTAGCTGCTAGCTTGCTCTATCAAATAGTGCTGTTGTGCTCTTTGTATCTGTTATAGTTTCTATGGAAATAAACAGGAGGTATTACTTTCAGAGAGACCTATGTATAACTGACCTCCCAAATGTGCAACACTAGGACTCTTGTTCAGCTGGAAAGATAATCTTGGATAAAGTTGGAAGTAATCTTGCTGGGAATCTGACCAGTTATCGTGGCTAACGAAGTCCACCCAATACTTAAACCTGATGTCTTTTCCACAGACAACAGATACATTCTGTGCAGCAGTAGTTCTGTTTATAGATGCACCATTCTGTATTTTTCCTGCCTGTTTCTCTAGCGTGTATTTATTACTAGGGCTGTTCACAAGCAAAGAAGTATTTGGGAACTGCCACTTCTCAGCATACAAGCTCTTTCTTGTGTTGGACAGCTGCTTCCAAACTGTGGTTCTTCTTGGTGGTCTTGAGGATGAATCACTGAGACCTAAACAGGAGGTGGTGAGGAGGGTGGGGTACATCTTGTTAAAGGTTCTCTTTCTGTAGAAGTGGCCATAAGATTTTAAAATGTTCATGAACAAACAACCTACCAATTTGCCTGTTGCTCCATTCCCCCTCATGTCATAACACATTATGCTGTCCCAGTTGTTTGCATAGGCATCTGGCATTAAAGGTGTACCTGGATGGATTCTGATAGTAGTTGAGAAGAATGCAGTAGTACCACTTAAAGCCTAGAGTGACGAGATAGCCCTAATTTTGTGTAAATTTTTCTGTACTGCTGTTCTTTGGGTCTGAATTTTCCCACAATCCAAATGTTTATTTCAAGGTATTTAGGTCTCCCAGGTAGAGAGCAGTAACATAGCATACAGAGACTGCACAAACAAAAACTGCCTTTCTACAGGTCTCTCAGGCATTTTACAAGAAACATCTGCAAAATCTTTAATGCATGACTAATATGACTAATACTGGCAAAGGCCAGCTGTTATCTCAAGGAAGTTACAGTGAATTAATTAGTGAATCAAACTACATGGAAAGGATTAGAATGGGATTAATGAGATTGTGATGGTTGGTGGTTGAAACATCAATATTGTACTTTATACATTCAAAATACTGAACTAACATCTGTGAATTAATCCTTATTTGCTCTTCTAATGCAAATCAGTGTTTTATCTTCATATCATTGGGGGTGGGTGGTAAGTTGGGGGAGGCGGATATACAGAAAGTTAGTGTCCAAAAAATGTACACTCAGTCAGAAATGATAACATGCACACTGACTTTTTACTCTCTGTGCAAGACTACATGCAGCCGTGGCTACATCTCTGTTTTGCTTAACACTGATAGCACTGAGAAATCTCTCTTAAAAATTGTAGAAGTAGTTGGATAGTTATTTTTCTAGTAAGACAGTAACTACTAGAACAAGCAGTAGTTGAGAGCAGAAGGTCATACCTGGATAAGAAGCTCTCAAGGGATTGCTTTTTATCTTCTTTGCAGACAATGCCCTCTTTTTTCTGTCTTTCCATGTCTTTAATTCGTGACTGGAAGGTGTCGATCAAATCAAACACAGACTTCATTGCTATGGGTACTTCATAGTATTGCTGTCAAGCAAAAAGAGCAGTTAAAAAATGGTCCACGTGTTAGCATTCTTTCTGCATGCATCACAGCACTGTAGGGTATGCAGAGATTCAAATATCCTCCTATGCACACAGGTAACAAGGCCTAAAACAGATGTTAAACTATGGTAATATTCCTATTTTTGCAGTCAGACTGTTCCTTGGAAATGACATATTATTTGTCCAATGTGTTAAGACCAGGCCATTGCAGGCAACACGTTGTCAATATGTGCTTTTGTAGGATGTTGTCATATGAAATATGTTGATATCTTGGTGAGTTGTCACACTGTGTTTTAGAATGCCAGGTATTGCATAAACATCCCTGCCAGAGGCTGTCCTGTCCCAACAGTGTCAGCTCACCACAGAAAGCCACAATCCCTGAGATCCTCCCATCTGCAGACTATGAATATAATTATCTAATTCCTGACATATTCTCTTACTGTCCTTCTTCTTGTCATCTAGCAATGACAATCTCTTATGTGCCTGACATGCAAGCCTATATTATAATTTCATCTATTTATTTTTTTCATATTTTTCAATGCCTTTTCTTTCCACCAAGAGTCAAAATCCTCACCTTGACCTTCATGTCAGTGTCTGTCAGCACCATGAAGAAATCATTGTAGGTCATCCCATACTCCTTCCTCAACTCACTGATGAGCTGCTGATCCACAAGATCTTCATCCTCTATCACTTTCATGGGCTTTTCATTATCTTAATACAAAACAGAGGAGAAATAAAAATGGTCATGGAATTGCACAGCAAGCTGTCTTCAGTTACACCTTGCAAGAAAAGGGGAAGTTCATCTTCCATTGGCCCTCTTCCCACTGCACTAGCAAGGTCTTCAAAAACACTATGCCACTGTGGTTTTTGACTGTCCAGTTTTCTGTCTCAGTATTTTTGGAAAATGAGTTTAACCTATGTCTCATGTACTTCAACATTAAGCATTTTTACTTGCTTTTGCAAAATTTTGGTCGCCTGCTCTTCTCTGGAAAGGGGTTTGAGATTTTTTCAGACATATTTATACATTCATGTGTGTATTAATCATTTCAGCAGCTCCTGAAATGCAGCTGCTTCTGCAATAGAAAATAGAAACTGTCTGACAATTTCCTGCAGAGGCTGGAAAGCACTGAGAAGTTGAGTCAGTAAAACATAGTTAGAAGAGCTTGAGGCTGTCCGGAACTCTGCAGTATCTTCCAGTCTTAAAAAATTACATGCGATGTTTAGTGACTATAAGAAACCAGAAACTGTTAAACATATTTTGAATACAGTTTTAGCTCTTTGGGTCTGCACGAATACCATGCTGTGGCACTCTTCCATGTGCTTGCTGATGTTAATTTCCCATTCTAGTACATTGGTGGGGAAAAAAAGGTGTTCCGAGAATGATTTTATGCATACTCACTGGCTCTGCCCTAAGAAAACTTTCAGAAAAGCAAGAGGAGGAAAAAAAAAAAGCAGACAGTGATTTCATTTTGAAACTTCCAGAATTATTAAATGTCCAAATTATTCAAATGGAAAAGAACCAAACACTCAAAAAGATTTTTAACTAACTTGGAACTTTATGCCCACCTTAGAACTTTATGTCTCTTTTCTTATATTTAACATGAAAAATGACTAGTCTGATGCTTCCAGTTTCAACCTACAAGTTTCACCCTTTTCACTATTTTCAAAGGATTTATCATCATTTGATGACAGCTACCTAAAGAAATTCTAGGTATGTATTTACAAAGTTAGATCCATGTGACAGAGATTTGAAACATGTACAGGACAAGCCCATGGAGATACTGAGAATCCTTAATTTCCTTAAGCCAGAGTGCATCCTGAAAGCCTCCATATCATCCTCAGCATCCAGAACAGCACTATACAACTATGACAGTGCTGGAACAGGCCTCCAGATGCAGCTAAGGGCCTGGGAAGTAAAACCCAGGGAAGTCACACACACAGTGAAATAAAGCACCTGGGGGCCAAAGAGCTGTCTTCAAATGCTACTTGTTTATGCCCTAAGACAGCACTGGGTCATAAATACTCATATCATCACTTAGCGATCTCAGTTATGGCTTAAGTGATTTGCCTGAAGTCAGAGATGCCACAGCCAGTAAAGAGCTGCAGTGCAGAGGTTCAGCTTTACTGTCTCCTGCTTCACTGTTATTCACCAGCAAACAGATATGAGATGAACTGATTTCAACGTACAGCAACAGAAAAAACTTATTCACGAACAAATTGTATATTTTGAAAATAGCTGACTATTGAAACAATATATATATATATATATATATTTCCTAAACATTCACAATCTCTTGGAGCAAGTTAATCTGATTCAAATTTTGCAATAGATCCAATCTTTGTAATAGACTCACTGAAACTTATAACTTAAATGTCTGGGAAGATTAGAACCTGACATAAACTTCACACCCTGGGGAAAACAAACAAACGAACAAACACCATTAAGTGTTATAATTTGGTTATACTAATCATTCTACAGACAACATCTGTAATGGTTGTATGTGGTTATAAGTACTTTAAAGTTTTGTGAAGAACTATAGGTAATGTTATAAATTCTCCATTAGATGGCTCAGTCATGCTTTAATGCTTCATAAACAAGATTTACGTCTTACTAATGTCAAGCATGACTCTTAAAACATAAACCAAAATTCATACTTATGCCTGCAATTTTATCCCAAAGCAAGATCAGCACTATCTCATTGGTCTGTACGGAGGTAAAATAATGCAAGAGAGGTTAGTGGAAAACAGCTTGAATGGTACATTACCTTAGACTAACTGACTCATAGCACTGTTTTGTTTCAAAGACTGCAGATACCAACATGAAGATAGCACTTTAGAGTTTCACTGTTTGGATGTTTCTTTTCAGAGCTTATGATTTAAAGTAAAACAAATGACAAAAGTGATACAGAAAAATGCATTTTGGGGAAAAAAGCCAGAAGGACTGACTTGCCTTGCAAACTTATGCAAACTTAGAAGTGGTTTTTGGAGAGGAAAATATAAGTTAGTCTGATAGCCTTTTTCCAGTTCACCACTTGTCCCCAGCCTCCACTGTCATAAAGCATATTGGGTCAGCCTGAAGAACAACACAGTTGAGACTGTTTGCTACCACCAGCAAAATTCTCTTTGATATTTCTGAATAGGTCACTGAAAAAGTGTAAAATCTTTTCTCAGTACATCTTTAGCAGCCAGATAGACTGGAAAAATGAGTTTCTCTTTACAAATAATTCAGTTGAGCAAAGAATGTCAGTACTTTGCTGTGAAAGTATAGTAGCCTAGTAGGTTACATGCTGGCTTTGGTTGTAAGATGGTTGTGTTACAGCTTGGAACTGCAGTTTAGTTCACTGAAGCCCTGTTTCCAGGATGTGGGGGAAAGAGACCAGATGGCTAACTTGAGGTGAAAAGAATTCTGACTTTCTGTCATTCCAATGGGAAACAGTCTTTGGTTTTGTCATAAATCAATCTAGGACCTTTCTGTTTTGTCGTTTATAATTCACTAGCACAGCAAGTCCGAGGATATAGTGAGTAGATTCCATCGTGCTGGCTGCTAAGACTTTTCACTATGGCAAAATACTGTGAACAAAATGTTTGTTAGGAGATTTTGCTGCCTCTGATGCTGACAGAGACTTTGCCACTAAGAGGCTATGCAAGCAAGAAGGGTAGAGGAGAAGGGGAGGGAGAATAGAAAAGTGTTTGTATTATTTAAACTTTTGAAAAAGCTCAGGAGACTAGGTGTTCTGGGCAAAAATGTAAGGTGAGCTTCTCATGTAAGGTTAGCTTATACCCTTCTAAGTCTCCTGCTTTTCTTCAACAAGTTAATTCCTCCTATGAGAATTAAGCTGTTATACACATTTGTGGTTTGGAAGAAATTTGGGTGTAAGTTAAGTTTGGAAGAAGCTGAAAGAGTATGGTCTATGTCAGAGTGAATGTCTGTTTATTAGCAAGACTGGAGCTAAATATATTCCTAAACAGTCCACTGACAGACAGATGGTGTAGGTACAGAAAAAGTGACCTTGAGTAACCTTGGTCTGATGTGGAAAATTCTATACCACTCCAGATTTGCCAGAGAGGTGCATGGATGGACAGTCTGGATATGTGAGTCCCTGCTGTTCAGAGACAAGTCTGCTGGCCCCCAGCTAGCTCCCCACTCTCTGACAGTAGCAGAGGCATGGCTGGAAGCCAGGCATAGTTTTCCTTCATTTTCTGACCAGTTTTATGCCAGATCTGAAATACCCTGGAAGAGACAGGTGATGGGAGCATCATGTGGTCCTGAGCTTTCCATTCCATCAGACATTGCTTCTAAGGTGTGGAAAACCAAACCATATGAACTTCTGAAGAACAATGTGGTCAGTTATAAGCAAAACTACTAGTTTATATGCTATTGCTTTGCCTTGGTTCAGCAAAACACTTAAACTGGTGTGGAGCTGTAGATGCAGACAGCAACAGGATTGCTTATGTTCTTTAAGAGACACCAAAGCTTACGTGCTTTGCTGGACCTCGACGTGATGTTTCTGTCCAAATTCCACCATAATTAAAGGAAAGGTTCTTGCTGGCTTTGGTGGGTTTCCCCAGGACCTGAGCACTGACACCTGTTGTTTAAAAACTACCTAAGAGTTGGATGCCCCGTGCCACTTGCAGATATGGGAACTCTATAAAGAAAGTGGAACTAGGTAATGCTGAATGAAGTGCTTTACAAGATCTGCACAGTCTGATTTATAGTGCCTCCAAAGATTAACCTCTTAACAGCCAGCAATAAACAGACACACTGATGAGTATCTTGCTTTATGGGCAAAGAGAGGCTATCAGAATTAAAATGGTAGATCTTTTAATATCAGGTATGCTAGTATAAATATATAAGATTGCCCATACTTAGAAGCTATGGATAAAATCTCCTAAATTTATATATCTTTACTAGCAGGGAGAGGAAAATGTTCTTGGACCTCACCTGTGGTAGAAAGTACTCACTTTAAACATCTCAAGATCATCTGTTAAGCTTAGAAAAGCTGATCTTCGGAAGGAAAAGAATTCACTTCAAGGAGTCTACCTGGCACACTTCTCTCACAGTCCTGGGTTCAGTGAGTGCATGCCTGTGCAAAATTAAGCCTTTTCCATGGCCTCATGAGGAGTGAAAAGGCATGAGAAATTTTACATGGCAGGGCAGAAAGGTAACGGTGTTGAACTTCAAAACAGAATAAGCTTAGACCAAGTTTTGAATCATCATCTCAAACATTCTCTTCAGCTTCTTCTGTACCCCATCTCCTCTCCTTCATGACATCAGACAGTTTCTTTAAACCGTGTTTAAAACATGCTAGCAAATATCTAGCCGCCCATGGTTTAGAAAAGAAACAATGGTGGAGCTATATTAGGACAACCGTTGTGATAGTAAGGTTAGTATTCATGATACTGGTAGAACTGAGGCTCATTTCCCCCATTTCCCATGCCCTCATCAAATTTTCAGGCTTTTTCTTTGTTTCACTATTTTGCTGTCTTTATGAATTCCCACAAAGAAAGCTGAAGTTACAGCATTGGAAGCCTAAGCATGGAAAATATTAGAGGCCTTTACATAAATACAGAATGATAGTAGTCAGCATGGAGGGAGGAGGAATGGGTTTGAAAGTCCTACTATCCCAAAACAGATGATCTTGCTTAGGTCTTGACCCAAGCTGGGGAAATTTCTCCCTTTGCTGTCTGTAATGTGCCCACAAGATGTAAAGAAATTATATAAAAAAAAGGAACCTAGCTGGAAGTGGTCAATTTTCATGCTGCTGTTGTTCATGGTGCCAAAAATTGTAATGACTGAGATTTTCCTTGTTGCCATCTTGCAGAAGCTCTCCAGATATTCGTCTCGCTGCTGAACATACATGGTGTTGTCCGCCTTGGGGGTTGTAATCAGCTGGTTGGTGGCAGAGACAAAAGAGCGTGTTTAATATAAGAAATGAAGCAGATTACTATTTCACTGAAGGAGAACTAGTCACTGTCTGCAACCTTGGATTTCTTTTTCATAAAGCTATTGACTCCTCTGTAGTTTTATTTTGCTTGTGGTTGTAGCATACCCTTAAGACCAGTCCTGTCCAACCAGTCCCAGGAAAGCCATAGGAAGCATGGTGGCACCAGCTCTTCCATTGCCTTTCCACAGTACTAGTAGGAGAAATGACACTGGAATTTACAGGAAGCCCTCTACCTTCTTTGCCCTACCACATCTTCCCCCACTCATCAGGGGTGCAACATATTTAGGGCTCTTCCCACCCAGTCACAGCAGGAGCACTGGGAACATGGCAGCCTGGCAGCTACTCCATCGTCATCTCATGCTCCAGGCAGAGCTCCTGTGGCTGTTTCAACTATGACAGTACAATTACAACTAGAGCTTATTGAATAATTATATAAGTGATGGTCGTATAAGAAGACCTTGAAAACTCAGTAAGGCCATTGTGACCTCACCTGAAAATCAGATTTATCATATATTTGTTTTAAGTCACTTTGCTGTCATACGGGTCTTTTATTTGATTAGAAGTCATGGCTATGGAGGAAAAGCAGGAGGAAGAACAGTTACAAAAGTAACAGTATACAAAAGTACAAAATTATCCATAGTTTACGTTACTCTATTCATTTCAAAGTCTCCTAACAGTTAAAAGATTAAAGAAGTTTAAAGCACATAACTTGGCTCCTTCATCAGTGACTAGGATTCAGATATCCCAGGAAGGGTGTTTGTCTCTTAAACGTTTCCTGCTTCGTTCTACAAGATTTGATTACATAGGTCTAATTCAGACTTCAGTGTATGTTCTTACTCATGGCTTCTGAAACTAAGAGGACAGTGCAAACCAATGGTCTGGTCAGCATGCATTAGTTCTATGCAGCTGTTTCCAGAAGAAGTCTGGAGAGGAATGCCCCCAGTCTAGCAACGTAATCATTTAAGCACTGCCAGTGCAGCTGAAGTACCTGCAACCACTCCTCCAATCACAAAGGGAGTTGGAATCTGAATTTTATAATTCAATATATTAAAATACTCTCCAGAATCCCTCAATCGCAACCTTATGTTCAGTCTGTAGCAGGTAAAATCATCTATATACCTCATGTTCATAGAGCCTGAAGGCTAATGTTTATGATATACTCATTATTAATGTTAATCATTGTATTGAAATGTAGGGGGCATTTATCAGCTTGTAAAATCTGACTGGCTTATAGAAAGACTCCCTGGCACGACTACAGCCCTGGGTGAATGAGAATCAAACACAAAAAGCTTTTGATTTACAAGTAATGAATTGTTTTTAAATTGCATAGAAATGCTTCAAGTTAAGATCATCAAGAGGATTTGAGGACTGAGACCAAAACCAGACCATTGGTTTGCATTGTACTTTTAGTTTTAGAGGCTGTAAGTAAGAGCACGTGCTGAAGTCTGAATTAGATGTACTTCATCAGATCTTCAGAATGAAACAGGGAACATTTAAAAGACAAAGCAATCTTCATATCAAAGCTTTGTTCTAGGACTGTTCTAAGCCAAGCGGAAAATACATCACATCTACCTGCATTTTCATGCATGTGTTTGTGTGTGCATATATGTATTCATATATGTGCACGTGTGTATAAATGAATTGTTATATAAATTGTCAGCTTGCACTTCATCACCATAGGGAAATAAACAGAAAACCCAAACTCAGTAAGCCAAGACTTCTCAATATTAGTAAGAATGAAACAAAACCCTCAATGTAAACTGGTGGGGGCTGCAGACCTCAATACCCATATGCTTTTTCAGTTTTCACTGGTGGATCCTATGTTTGTCATTAATTGAACTTAACGCAGATTAGCCTTCAGAATTCTTTATGTTTGAAAAGCATGCTGAAACCTGCAAACTGAAATCCTTAATGATGTGTAAATCTTAAAAGCCTGTGACTCTCTTAAAAATCTCTTGTATTGGGAGAGGACTGAAACAATGTCTTTGGGAGACAGGCTACTGAAGTGTCTGAAAGACAGTAGTATAGCAATGTAGTGGAGTTCTACTCAGGTAGAGCCAATTCTCTAAAGTGTGGGCTAATTCTTCAGAGGAGTTTGAAGACTCATGAATGGTAGAGTCTAACCAGCTAGAAGGACTTAGCCTAAGTGAATTGAATAGTTGATAGGAAGGAGTGCAAAAATGCATGTGTATGGATTAATGAAGCTTGGGAAATTCTTTGTTATCCACGTGCAGGGGATGGAAAAGAGAAAACAGACTTCAGCCATTGCTTTTACTATTGATCACCTCAAACTTGTCCTCAAGAAACTTTAGGGCAAGCAGGCCGAAGGTAGTATTAGATACTGGAGAAATACAGCGGAAGATGGCACAATCATTTCTCTTCAGTGAGTTCTGGCCTGACAGCCTGAGATTGTGTAGCTCTTTTATTGAAAATGCAGCTGACAGGTGGCCTGGTATCAGCTCTTTGAAATTTCAGACCAGCCTTTAAGTTGCCAGGACCGTGCTGATGTAATGAATTAACAGTTTGACATCTATAAGTTCAGATTTTGATATTTTACAGATTGGTATTTATTTGTCTTGGTGTTCTTGGAAGCCACAACATTGAGATGTATGACCAAATTTCAAAGATCTCAAACTCCCTTGGTTTGCTTAACTGGTAGTTAACATGTAACTGACAAGCACTATTTGCAAAATTAACTCAAGTTCAAATTTTTCAAATATATTGCTAATAATATTATTGAATAATATTTGAATATTATTCAAATATATTGCAAATAGATCAAATATAAGGCCAAGTGCAAGGTCCTGCATCTGGGTTGGGGCAATCTCAAGCACAAATACAGGTTGGGCAGAGAATGGCTTAAGGGCAGCCCTGAGAGAAAGAATAGGGAGTGTCAATTGATGAGAGATTTAATATGAGCTGGCAATGTGTGCTTGCAGCCCAGAAGTCCAACCATATCCTGGTCTACATCAAGAGAATTGTGACCAGCAGGTTGAGGGAGGTGATTCTGCCTCTCTACTCTGTTCTCGTGAGATCCCACCTGGAGTATTGTGTCCAGTTCTGGAGCCTCCAACACAAGAAAGACATGGAACAATTGGAGCAGGTCCAGAAGAGGGCCACGAAGAGAGCTGGAGAACCTCCCCCAGGAGAACAGGCTGAGAGAGCTGGGGCTCTTCAGCCTGGGGAAGAGAAGACTCTGAGGAGACCTCATACTGGTCTTCGAGTTCCTGAAGGGGGCCTACAGGAAAGCTGGGGACAGAGTTTTTATAAGAATATTTATGCAACTTATTATGCATACTTATGCAGGATGAGGGGAAATAGCCTTAAACTGGAAATAGGTAGGTTTAGACTAGATATCAAGAATAAATTCTGTATTGTGAGGGTGGTAAGACACTGGAACAGGTTGCCCAGTGAGATTGTGAATGCCCCCTTCCCTGGAGGCATTCAAGGCCAGGCTGGATGGGGCTTTGAGCAACCTGGTCTAGAGGGAGGAGTTCCTGCCTATAGCAGGGAGTTGAAACTAGACTATCTTAAAGGTCCCTTCCAACCCAAACCATTCTATATGATTGTTCTTCTCCAATCACAACATGCTAGGGAATGTTCTTCTTCTAGCTCTGCACAGGCCCTAAAGCTGGAAGAACAGGGAGGGGAATAAGAAAGTTGGACTCTCCTTAGGTTTGTGAATCATCAACAGAATGATTAATTACATTCCAGTGGTTGAAATCTTGGCTTGGCGTCTTAGGTGTTTGTATTGAAATACAGGGCATCAAAGTGAAAACTGTATTATGACACTGACTGTTGAACAATAACTGTCAAAGAGGCCAGCTTGCAGTGGAATAATTGCAAGAAACCAGCTCCCATAATACTATTTTTAAAGAACTATTTTTCAAAGTGTGCCTTTTCAGGATATGTGCCATCTGCCAGGAAAAACATCTGTACTACAGCTAAAACTGTTTCCTGTTGCAGGTGAAGTGTTTTTTTAGATAAGTAGTTGGAAAAACATACAACGCTATTAAACCCTGAGAGAAGTAACTCCAGATTGTGCTGAGTTTCTAAGACTTGAAAACTAACCATAGAGTTATTGTTTAATAAAAACAGCAGGAGAATAAAGGGGAACAAAGTTTGTATGGGATCCCTGAAGATATCTAGGAGATCTGAATGCCAAATTCCCACGAGAAATAATGGCACATGTAACAGTCCTACCTCAGGGCAATCTTGTCATATGCCTTTGTGCATATCGTTAGTCAGGCGTGCATAATACTGCCAAAAACACCTGGCTTGCTTCCAGTTTTAGGACACCAGCACCAATACAAAACAGGTTTGCCAGCTGGCAGGACATGCTTAGCATCAAAATGTAGTGACATTGGCAAGTACCCTAAAGCAATGACTGAAATCCACATGAACTTCATTTTATTGAATATAGTTGTAGGGATCCTGATACCTGTGTATCTATTGGAAACAAAATATTCTGATGGCTGTATGATGGCTCATGAAAGTGAGTGGGAGGAGGTTTTAACCTAATTGCTGTCTGATGGATTTTTGTACCATATGTAAGATTTCCTACACGAGGCTGCAAAAACTTCCATGTTGGAAATGATCCTCCAAATCTAGAGATCTGATCTCTTAAACAAAAATCAACAAAAAAGAGTAATACAAAAGCAGCATAAACTTTCTGTTCCCCATGTTCTACTAGGATGGAGACATTAGTTCATTTATGAAATAGAATTCAGATGAACAAGTTACTTACAATGAGCCGCCTTTTGCCTTCAAAATAGTCTAGGAGGTTGGCCACCGATTTCCTGGGAGGCTGTAAGAAAGGCTTCTTGTTGGGCTTGGGGAAATCCTCATTCTCTGTTCTGCTCCCCTTCTTGTTTTTTTTGCTACGGTCTTTATCCTGCTTGCTTTTTTTCTCAGCTTTGTCCTTCTTGGACTGCTTCTCACTCTTCTGCAGCTTGTCAGGTCTGTCCTTTTTCTTTTTCTTCTCAGGTTTATCCATTCGCTCATGCTTCTTTGATTCTCTTCCTTTCTTTGGGGGAATACTTCCCACTGCAATCTCTTCCTCTAAATGGGGACTAGCAGGCTTACTTGGGTCATATTTATCTTCATATTCATTACTCAGTATCTTCTCTTGTGTCTTCTTTTTTGGTGGTTTAGTCTTAGTTGGTTTGTGTTGCCCTGGCGTGACATTCAGGTCCCTGTGGTTATAGTCCTTCCTGTCTGTTCGGTTATCTTTAAACCTACTCATGCTTGCCTTTGTGTAGTGCACTGAAGGGGCTGTTGGGACTTCTGTGAAGCTCTCATAGCGGCCACTTTTGCTTGGTTTCCGTGTGGCTGCCAGGTGTTTCTCTGGGTGGCCTCGCTGCCGGTCCCTGCGATTTGCCTTCCACACAGGAGAATAGAAATCCTCAGAGGCCATGATCCGTGGTGTGGTGGCCTCAGGAGCTGCTGGCAGCCTATGGTACTCTGTGGTGGTATGTGACTTTGTGGTCCATGTCCTCTGTGTGGTGGGGAGGGATGTAGTTGTTGTTGTAGGCCTGCTTGCTGTTGTCACTGTGCGGGTGGTGGCCCGGGTGGCTGTGGTGGTGGTAGGGAGGGTAGTGGTCCTTACTGTTGGCAGAGGAGTAGCCACAGTGGTTGTCATTGGTTTTCTCACTGTTTTGGTCCTTGTTGGCTGGTTGTTGCTCCTCCTTGGTTCCTCCTTCCTCCCTCCTGCTGATACTTGGACATGTCCACCACCAGGGGTAGATTGGGTGCTACCCCCATTATTGTCATCTTCAACCACCTGTCCCTCCACCCCAGCTGCTTTGCAAGTCTGTATGAATCCCTTCTGTCTCATCTTCTCAATTTTTCTGATGGGGTTCTGATCAATGACCTCATACATGGCCTCTAGCCTTACGGGATAAGGGTACCTTTCCTCCACCTGTAGAGTTTTCTTCAGCAGCACCATGCCAAATTTCCCCTTTTCTAGTTTCAGAAAGCTCATCAGCTTAGGGATGAGAGCAGGATCCAGTGGCTGTTCCAGGATTTTTCCTTCATTGGTTATCCTTCTGACTTTTCCTCCTTCTTCCCCTTCTTCATGGAACAACACAATCTGCTGGATGTGTCTCTCAGCCAGTTCACAGTAAACATCATTTTTCAGCAGGCTCATCATGAGCCGGTAGTAGCCCTCTGAGGCATGGGGGGCAGAAATCACCCACACCCGATTTTTCCCAGCAAAGCTGGCCAAGACATTGGGGGAACTTGACCCCGAAGGGAAGCGTACTGCTCGTGACTGTGAGGCGGTAGATATCCCTTCATCCTTAATCATCTCAGACTTGGAGTATTTGGCTGCAGCTGTGAGTCTCTGTACACGCCTTGTTCTGGTGCCTATGCTCCGGGGCTGGGAACGTGATTCCTCTTTCAGGAGGTTGGCAGGTGCCTTTGGAGGTACTGAAGAATCTCTCTTGGTGACGGGGTGCTGGGGATTCGGGCTCAGATTCTTTAGGGATGCTCCAGACCTTCTCAGGAGGCTGCTTGCAGCCCTGTGAGACTGAGGCACTTTCCTAACTCCATGGCTCCCTCTCTCTGCTAACCTCCCTGTCTTCTCAGAGCCACAAACTAGCCATGCTGTCCACAGCAGGGCTAAGCTGAGAGCTGGCCTCCAGTTCATTGTGCAATCAGCTTGTGGGAAGGAGGAGAAAAAGTTAGGTGTTAACAATATGATGATTTGCACAGATGATTAAATAAAACCACAAAAAGAGGCTGGATAGTTTTAGGGATTTAAGAGTGCTGGTTACACCTCAGTATTGCCCCACTGGTTTTGTAGAGTTTAAATGTTATTTTTGGAAAAGCACAAAATGGATCATTTAATCAAAAAATGACATCACCCATCTGTAACACAACTCTGTCTATCGAAAAGGACATCATGATCCACATCCTTCTCACTCTCTCAGTCTCTCACGCTTTCACATCCACACATGCAAACACACAGAGAGAATAGGTCTGGTACATAGAGCAGAAAGCCAAGAATTAGACTTGAGACTTACACTCTCACGGAAGTTCCCCTTCCAGAGACGAGGTTTCACGTCTTTTTCCTTTAAAAGGAGACAAATGCCATACAGCTTTGCTGCAGCTCGGTGATTTATCCTTACACAGCCCAGAAGGTCCCAGAGCCCGTCTGTCCACTTGTGTATCTTTTACCTTTTTTTCTTTTTCTTCACGTTCTTGACAAGCGGGATGAGGTGAGCGGAAATTTCCTTTGGGATCTCTGCTTCTCCATTTACCTGCAGGTCTGTCTTCTTTCTGCACCGGTTACCCACACAGGCAGGGATTTCATTTAAGAAAAGGAAACTCCCAGCTGCTCTGAGTCTCTCTCTTTCAAACTTCCTCAAGCCTCCTTCCCACTCCTTGCTTCCTCAGTCCAGCTTAGTTCCTTTGTTTCCAGAAAGGAAAGCACAAGCATTAATATATTTTCCAGGCTGAAGAAAAACACAGGAATGTGATGTTGAAAAAAAAAGCAGATGCTTCCCTTTCCCCTTTCTCCACACTTAGACAAAAGCAAATTGTATAAGTTTAATCTTTTCTTTTCCTTCCCTTCTTGGCTCTTTACGGTCCCAGAAATGTCAGGGTAACTCCAGCGCTGCTCAGAACCAGCTTCAGACAACAGTGGCCACTGGAAATGGGGGAAACTTCACTCAGGATTTAACAGCTCAGCAGAACCCGCCTCCTCCCCACTCTGACACAGGGAGAGAGGGAGGAGGAAGGCTCTGGGGGCTGAAACACTGCACAGCATCACAGCGCACTTCAGAGAGGGTGACTCCAGCCTTAACTCTTTCCTTTGCGCTTCCGAGCTCCCTTGCGCTCTCCAATCTCATCTTTCTCTTTCTTCCTATTAAAAAGACACAGGCTGAATAAAAAAGAGTCCCGTGAGAAATGTATTTCCCCATCTGTGTCAGAAACCACTCTGCTGTTTTAGAAGTAGTTGCTTTGTAACCCTATTGTTTCTGCCTCCTGCTCCCCTTTTCCCCGTTTGTTTGTTTTCTGGGAGTTCTCCAGTAAAATCCTGTTTTGCTTCACTTTCCTGTCAATTTCACTTTCGGATCCTCTTGGATGTGTCACTATAATCTGCTCTGTAAACATATATGCACATGGCTGTTTGTTCATTTGTACTTTTAAAGAGATTAAGATGTTTATTGCATTGTGGTACTAAAAACAGCATCACATGTATTTCCCTTGAATGTACACTAGCAGTAAAAAAAAAAAAAAAGTGCAAAAATATCTAAAGCGACATGGTTAAGGACAGGGTCATGTCCTTTGCTCTGTTCATGGGGTAAATGACACCATTCTATTGAGCTGACGTAAATTGGCACTGCTGCACTGCCAGCACCTGGTCTTTAGCTGATTCACGCTGGCTTCAGTGTGTCATGAACCTTTAGTGTAAAACACCACTTAGTTGTGGTTGATGGATAACAACTGAAAACAACCAGGATCTTAATATTCTTTTCATAGTTTTCCTATAAAATCTCACTTATTTACAGAGATGCTGCTGCATTCTAGTGATGGTGATAAAGTACTGCATTTGGTCTGAATTACTGTGGAGGGGGGCAAAGGTGTACCTTCTTCGTCCCTTGAAATGAGTGTTTCAAAGATAAAACACTTCCTCTTCTTTCTCTTTCCTTATCTGCTTCATTTTAACTTTATGTTATCAAATGCACTGGTAAACGTTAGTGGTGTTTTTGCTCCACGCTATTAATTTGTGTGCAGTGTTTACATTCTATGGCCTGTGGTACGTGTGGAGGTATGGGAGGATGGTGCATGCCTGTGCTTTCATTAATGTGAATGCAATCAGCCCCTCCCAGAATATCATATCCCACATCAGCTACAAAATAGGAGGATTGTACCTCTCAGAAGGACCACAAAAGTGGAGTTCTGTGAAGCAAGGATTGGGTAACATTTTCCATTTAAATTTACACTAGTGGCAGACCTGCTGGATTATTAATCTTGACAAGTCTTTAAACAGTTTCACTTCATTGTGACTTTTTAAAGTAAATAAACTCTAGCTTCAGAAGTGGTTTTCACTTCAATGTTTCCTTCAGTTTTACTACAAAGATATAAAAAAGAAATCACAGAGTTGAAGCCAAATGCTTAATTTGGAGCAATTGATTTTTTTTCCCACTAAATCACTTCAATTTTTTAGTTGTAGGTGATAGTTTGAACCCACACAGAAGCAAAACATTTATCTGCATAGCTTGAACGAAGCCAAGAAAAACACATCTAGCACATAAAAATGAAGGAAAGAAACAGAGATTCTCTCTACTGTCTATCCTATCAAATTATAGATACACAAAATAATCTCTGTGAGGACTTTATTGAAAAGTGCTTCAAAATTTCCTTTAAGCTTATCAAATGGTGACAGATCACCAAAGGTGACAGATTGTAAGGCAGCTGCAGGGACAGACCATCACACAGCAAGAGCTGGAGCTGCAGGAATTGTTTCCAAGGCTGATGCTTCCTGGTATTTTTATTGGAGGTGAGGAATGAAACCTGAAATGACTGCTGGAAATATTTGGCATTGGAATTTCATAGGAGGTAAATAATTTTTACAGGCCAACGTGGGACTGCTAGTAAAGCAAACTTATGTCTTACAAGATCAATGCAAGGTCATACTGCAAGAAACAAAAAATGTGTGAAATATGCATGAGATGAATAAAAATATCCTAGAATGCAGCTGTTCTGTAAAGAACTTAAAGGTCAGAGTAGATAATCCACTGGAAATAAGCTTCTGCTTTGGTACTGCAGCAAGGAAAACATCTACCCATGTGCCAATGAGAAGTTAGGAATTAATGCGTAGTACCAATAAGGCTGTTCCTGCCATGTACATCAAGCTTTTCTGAAGAGTTGCAAGGGATTCAAAAAGTGATGTGACATCTGGATATGATCTTATGCAAACAGAGGTGGGAAAAGGTCAAGCGAACCGTAGAGAAGGCACAGCCACACCTTGGGCATGATCTCTGCATGCATACACAGGAAAATTCCTTTGAAAGAAAATGGCTTTGTAATCCATCAAAGGATGGCAAAAGGATTAGGAATTTAATCTTGACAAATGCAGACTTGAACTAATTGTCAATTACTGCAACTTTTTTTATTAGTGATCTTTGTTAATCCCTGAGACGGTTTCCCCAATAATATGGTTGTTTTCTGCTGTCGTTTCTTCAAATCAAGCCTGTAGGAGATCTTAGGTGGACTAGAAGACATGGCAAAAGGATGGACAGAGATCCTTTTGGACTCATCAATATGGGAAGTTTGAGAGCAACATGTCATCAAGTCCTGAAGAGTGTGGCTCTTTGGAGACTTACGGAAATCAGTTCTTATTGCTAACACAAGCTTGCTATTTGAGACAGGCAGAGTTGCTACAAGGCAGATCTTGTAGCCTTCAGAGTGGTTTTAATGAGGAAGTGAAGTTAATGTTGTGTCCACAAAAGGGAAATATATATCTGCTTATGAATAACTGTTTTGTGGTTATTTCTATATCCTGCTTTAGGTATCAGAATTAAACAGATATATATATATAGTGTGTGTGAAGGGCTGTGCACACAACTGCGCTGTTTTAGCTGCTAAGGAATTAACAGAGAAGCGTTCAGAGAGTTTACATGGAAGGTGATGGGAGATGAAGGGGCTTGGGAAAACCAGCATCAGCTGCTCCGTGCTGGGAAGCTGGGAGCCAGAGGAGCAGGTGGAGATCCCCTGTGGATGCCAGTGGGGGTGACTGGCTAAGAGAGAACCAGAGTTTGAGTCCTGGGAAGCAGACATTGTTGCTTCTCTGAAAAGGGGCAGGTTTCTTGAACTCTGCTGGCTCTTTGCTTTCCTCTGGAGGGAGGAAGCTATTATTAGTGATGTGCCTGGGGTCACAGCCCATCCAGCAGCTGGGGAAATAACAACTAAGAGTGTACACAGTGGACCTGTGCTGCAACCCCCTATATGTAAGCAGGAAAAGGAGTCAATACAGGGAGGCTTGCAAAAGCAATGACCCATAATAAAAAGAGCAGTGCCTGGTTAGTCAGATCAAGCTCCTAAAATAGAAAGGCGCTTTTGATAAATCGGGAGGCCCCAGCGGAGCCTTCACTATTAAAATGTACATTTTTTCTGTAGAGTCCTCCAGCAATGTTGCTTAGAAACCAATGATGCAATATGACACTTATATTACAAACTTTAAATGTTTAATTCTGAGGTTAAGCCTTCAAGATACTGACAGGGCTGCAGCCCTATAGGCTTGGGCTTTATTTGAGATGCAGTGAAATTCTAATGAGTAGATATTAGTACTGGCCTGCGTGCAGGGTGACCTTGAGTTTAGCACCTCTGCCCAGTTTACAGGGCCTCCTGGTGAGAGAAAGGCTCTCACATAGACCCATTTCTTGTTCTACATCTGGTTGACATCTGGGATGGAAGTGTCAGCCAGGAAGAACATAACATCTTCTGGCCAGGACAGACACAAATTCTATTCCAAACTGATGCAACTGATGTTATGTGCTCTGAGACCAAAGTGCTTATTGAGAGCAAATGAATACGAAGATTGCCATCTGCCGGCCTTTCAAACTGTGTTACTAGTCACAAGCCACTGTGAGTCTCACAGCCATTGCAGCCTGCTGCAGCTGGTTTCTTGATGTTACAGCTGCTGATGTACAGAATTCTTTGTCACAGAAATAGTTGTCTCCTTTCTTGGTGTTACTGGGAAAAGGAGACTTCATGAGCTCTTATCAATGAGTGAGGCCAACTTTCCTCTCTTGGAGCAGTGTAACCCCGTGGGGAAATTGTACTGAGGGCATTTTATGATGCTGAGGTTTAGAATTGTCCCATGAAGCACAATGGTTACCTCTCCCAGGTCATGAATTCAGCTACGGCAGTGAACTCACCAGCTGCAAGGGCCTGGTTTCTTTTCCCACATTTGTACCTCTGCACAACAGAAGGTTATACTGGCACAGGTCTGAGCAGTGATCCTAGCCTCCTCCTCCCTCCAGCTTTCTTTTTTCTTCTCCCTTCCTTTGTCTGGAGAACAGCCTGCCTATGTCAATCCCGTCTGGATAGAGGGAAAATTCTCTCCCGCTCTTGCTGCTCTGCTTTGTGGTATGAAATAGATTTAAGTAGGATGAAAGCTAGAGCTTATGCAACTTCTTTGCACAAATGCTGGGACTTCAGCTCCCAGGTCTGATTTCTCTGTTAACTGTTTTGTCCAAGTGCAACTGCTTATGGATTTGCACACGTGGAAGCAGATCAAGTAGAAATTGACCTGCAATACAATCAGCTAATTCACTTACCAGGAAAGGCTCAGCTCTCCTCTGCATTGGCAGAGGAACTTGAAGGAATTTCTGCCGGAAAACAGCCCACTGATTCAGATGAGGTTGATCCTTAGATATTTGTGGGCCTTATTATCCAGCCTAAAATATTATGGTTTGTAAACCTTTTTCTTTCACCCTGTAATTTAAGTAAAAAATTTCTTTGGTTCCTTCTTTTTTTTAAAGGCTTGTTTTGATTATAAAATTGAAGGGGTTGGAATCAAGGAGGATCCTGTTTAAAAAACAGGCTGGGCTACAGTTTAGCAAAAGAAGAGCCTTCCAAAACAGGGCTGTGCTCAGTGATTACTCTCAGAGATTACGTGTCAGAAAGCTTTATGGATGAATATAAAAATGACTGGTTACATGGCTGCAAACATTTTTGTTCTAACATTTTACTAGCCAGTGGCAAAGATTCAGATTTTCCTATGATTCTAAGTCAGATGAGCATTTAAGCATATACTGACGTTTCATCTCGTTTTGGTAACTCTCGTGGCTCTATAGAGGGAAGGGCATGGAAGGCAAGGAAGACAAGGCAAGGAACCAAAAAGTGGAATAAGAATTTAATGATTCTATCCATATTCTTTAGGTCAGACCGAAGACAGTTCAAGCCTGAAAGTGACATTCAGAAATATTATCGCCTGTAGATAATGCACCACACTTTTTTGTCAGGTTGTTCATGCTCACTTGCAGGCATTCATTGCCCTTTTTTAAAATTTGCTATCAAGAGCATTAACAAATTTCATCTTCTGTGAATTCACTCTTTTCTCCTTA